TGTGGTGTGGTGTGTGTGTGTGTGTGTGTGTGTGTGTGTGTGTGTGTGTGTGTGTGTGTGTGTGTGTGTGTGTGTGTGTGTGTGTGACACATATTGTCACACATATTGTCTTTTTATAGTTTTATAAAAGTTTCGGTTTCGGCCGAACACTACTTAAGAAACTAAAAAAGATGGTTTCGGTCGGACTCTACTTAAGAGACAGACAGACTGCCATAGTCTTAAGCTTTTATGAGCCAGAATTGCTTGAAAATTTGCCATTGTAAATAAATTGATATTGTTGTTCTGAATGATCAGTATTGTGCTGCATTCACAGCACCAGTACAAATGTCATTCCTATTACTAGTAAAACCCAGAATAGAGAATATCAATTGAATGTACATACAAATGTTCGCAGGACGACAAGTGTAAATATACGTATTGTAATTAATATTACATATATATATATATATATACATATTGTAATTATAAATTTCAAATTAGTACTTTTAATGTTTGATACATACGTACTATATGAGTGTATTTTAAAATGTATTTTTTATTTAAGTATTTAAAAGTGCGAAAATATAGAAGTATCTAATTGGATATATTAAATTTTTTTAATAATGTTCCTTATATTATCTGTTGTAAAAAACTATTTTTCTTTAAAACTATCTAAAGCGTAATATTAAGAGAATTCTAAAAATTTTTCCATTTTTACTCAACTTTGTTACATGACAAATTTCACATTGGTTTTTCTCAATTTACGTACTACGCACGCGCGCGTACGTAAAGTTACAATATTTCTGAGTCAAAATCAATAAAACATATATGTATACTCCCCCAAGCGAAGGTGGTGACAGCAGCACTGCGTTTCCTCAGCAGAGTTTAGTCAACTCAATGCACCGCAAGAATACAGTCTGCGGCTTGTACATGTCGCATGTACTACGGGTCGCGTGCACTTGTGTAATATTTGTTCGTAATATTTATCAAGGAGTGATATTCTGATAATGTATCAGTGTTCGATGCAAACACACTGTCAAATCTCCACAAAAGCGGAAGACGAAATCAGCGTTAGAATTTTACATCACATCTTGGATAGTCCTTCCGACAAATTGCATTTGCGTCCAGACAAAATAAAGTGTGAATCAAAACTTATTCTTTTCCCAAGAAACTTGCAGTACGCAATACTTAATTGAAGGTTTTTTCAAAACTGTTTACATGTTTGTGCACGTTTGTCAATAAAACAATGTAAGGAAGATACGTATATGTATATGTAAGACATAAAAGAAGATATAAATGTGTGCCACAACATATATTGCGAATCATTACGGAAAGTTACATAACAACCTCACAAGCAAGCTTGAATATCACAATCGAATATATTTATATCGTTTCAAGTGCTGTATACGAAGAATGAATCCTTATTTTTAGAGTTGAGTGTCCAGTCGATCAGGTCAAAAAATCGTTAACTTTTTCGATTATGCGATTTGTGTGAGGAGAAAATTTATAGCAAATATACCTCACAGTTCTCATCTCTGAACAAGTAACGCCAGTATTTGCTGTGCGAATGGCTCGATTGTAACATAAATGTACGAGATATTTCGTGAACCGTGTTTTGGTAAGAGTTTATCTTTTGGAACAAACAAGCTTTGACTAAAAATCATTAGCAATTTTTTGTGATTTTTGTCTGATAAATTATCAATTGATAATTCCCGTAGCGAAAAAGATGTTTACTGCCATTTGACAAACATCAAAAACACTCACGTAGTTACCTGTGGTTTGAAAAAGGCTGGTTTAAGTGATTCGAAAAGAACAAGAATAATCGTCCGGATATTTTTTATAAAAACGTTTTCGGACACAATGGCGACGGAAGAAGACGGGACAAAGGACTGGAGCATCGCCAGAACTGCCATCTCCCTATTGTTGAATAACAAACTCGAGGAAGCCGAAGCTCTGTTTACCGGACATCCTGATAGCTTCCACGTCAAAGTTAGCCGTTGCTTTGTTTCCTTCATGGTACGTAATCCGCGCGAAGCAATATCGATTCTTTGTATACACTTTAACGAAGCGTATTTAACATCTCAAGGTCGCAAAACGATGTTGCTGCCTAATCGGTTTTAATAATATACGCGAGCACATGCGCCGGAAAATATAAAATCGATATATACCAATCTTTCTGCAAAAGGGACTGAAATAAAACTATAAATCTCATAATCCTGTTATGATACGAAAAAAAAAAGACGTCACACTCACCGCGTTCCGTTCCGATTTATAAGAAATGCATGACGCGCATATCTGAATATTTTAACCTTCGGTGATAGTAAAGTAGATTTTAATGCGATTGAATAAATCACGCAGAATGCTATAATGACATACGAAGATGACAAGCTCGAGCAGGCCTTGTCAATGCTTAAAGAGATGGAACGAGAATGTGCGGGCGATATAGGATGGCTGAAATCTGTGAAGAATAAAATGTTTCGAACGCAAGAAACCGGTGTAAGTGTTTTAATTATATATATCTATAAATATCTTTTTAAATTATTTATACATATATATATATATATTTAAAATATATTCATGTACAAGATAATTCTCGCAATTTTTGTTACGCAATTAAAAATTTTAATTTAACTAACAATAAATTTTTTTCCGAGTTAAATACACATATATGTGTAATAATTTTATATCTATTAATTTCCACGGAATCTTTGTCGTTACACAATTCTCGTTATCAGAGTCCTTAGTAATTGCAAAATTGATTTCAGAAGGACTATGTGAACAAATTAGAACGGCAAATCGTTCTGGCGGATTTGCAAGTTTGCGCGGCCATACTATCGTTTGTCGAACACGAATTATCCAGATACATGCGAGGCGGCTGGATGCTGCGCAAGGCTTGGCGAGTTTATCAGCACGCGTATACGCAAATCTCGCAATTGTACCGTCGCACCTTTGGCACAAGTCCTACCGGTGCGTCATACAATTCGTGTCTAACAACTGATTTTATTAATTTAAACAACAGAATATAGCATAACTTTTATTTAACAGTTTAACATATTCATTTTTATCTTTCTTGCGATTATTCTTTTTTTTTTTTTTTTTCATTGTAATTTTTTGAATGCTGCTGTGGTACATTAATTTATAATAATCATACACATACGTGATGGAGTTTCTCGTCGAACGCGCGTTTGATGATTTCACCTTCCTGTAGTACTCAGTCCGCGTGGAACTCCCACAAGAAACGAACCGTCTTCACAAAACCCACAAAGCCCGCAGAGTCCGCAGAGCCCGGAATCTTCGGAATGGTCGATATCGTCCGACAACGATTACGTGACACCTGTTTCGTCGCCATCAGGTCTGCGAAGCTCACTATCAATGTTCCTCTCGCTCACTGGCATCACGTCACAACAACAGACACCGTAATTGTTGTTTCTTCTTACGAACTTTTTCCGTTTCTTCTGTCTCCTTCGTCTACTGTTCTTTCCTTCACGAGAGAAAAATCACACCACTAAAGCTTCTATTAGCATCTATTTTTTTTTTTTTTTTTTTTTTTTGTAAAGTATTCTACTACGAGAGCGAAAAAGTTGCAATGTTAAACAACAAATTCCCTTTGTTTTTTTTCTTTTTATATATGTATACTTTTTCTAAAGTATTCAACTACGAGAGCGAAAAAGTTGCAATGTTAAACAACAAATTCCCTTTGTTTTTTTTCTTTTTATATATGTATACTTTTTCGGCAANGTAAAGTATTCTGCAAATCTCTTTACGATTCGCTTACGTTTGAGGATCTTGCCGCCGGCAAATTCACACGTTGCTTTCCGCTTTGCGATAGGTCACAAAGTTAGCTTTGAATCACTTTGCTTCTTCTCTTTCCCTTTACACAGCTTAAGTTATCAATTAGACAATGTAACTGAAGCAGAAATGAAATTTTCTACTTCGCAGCTTTGTGGAACCTGCGGAGGTGACGCGTTTAATGTCGGCAGTGAGTTTCGGCTACGGTATATACCAATTATGCGTGAGCCTTTTGCCACCGTCCATGCTAAAGGTAGTCCAGGTCTTGGGCTTTGAGGGTGACCGACAGATCGGACTTGCTGCTCTTATGTACGCACGTCTCAGCGAAGATATGCACGCACCGCTTGCCACGTGAGTATATTGTAAGACGGTTTATAAACGTGTCTTTACTAAGAATACACCCATCACTATGTGTTCTTTTTTAATTATAAAATTAACTTTCAGATTTAGTATTAGTTGTTCTTATTATGTCCTGAGTGATCTGTTTTATATACACACATACACACACACATATAACAACACTATCAAGTTTGATTGATCAGCAAAGTATATTATCACTTTGTCATAGATTATCTCTACTTTGGTATCACACAATCGTCCGTCCGCACTTTGCGATCGATGGATCGAATGTGACAGCGGGCGTCACAATAGCGAAACAGCTGATAACCGAGTCTTATACCGAATTTCATAATTCTGCCTTCTTTCTCTTCTTTGCCGGTAGAATAGAACGTCTCGAGGTATACTGATCGATTGAATTAAATTGTCTTTAAAATTGTCTCTTGCGATTATGTTAAATATATTATTTTTTAGTCGAATCTCAGCGCGGCAATTGATACGTACGGTAAAGCTGTGGAAGCTTCGTCCCAGCAGGAACTCAAACAGCTGTGCTTGCACGAGATGGCCTGGTGTCATTTGATATGCTTGAATTACGATGAAACATGGAAATGTTTGCAGCAGATGAAAGGACTATCCAAATGGTCCAAGAGCTTTTATATGTACATAGGCATGAGTAAGTTCAACGTGTTCTCCAACGTTTGATCAAACAGTGTCGAATTTCTTCACTGAATGTGATATTTTGCAGTTTGTTGCGGAGCAAACGGCAAACATGACTTCGTCCTAAAAATTTACAACAAAATACGTCACTGGTTTCGCGATAAGAATGCGACTCGTATGAAAGAGACGCAACTCGGCGCGTTTATTATGCGTAGAGTGCCGAAACTCGTCAATAAAGAAACTGGAAATCCGCAAAAAGATCAATATTATAGATTACTCGTATACGAATTACTGTACTTATGGAATGCTATGCCGTCCTGTTCGAATAAATCGCTGCGGTTCATATTAAAGGGTAATAATCGTTCTATTTTTATCGGTGACTTTAACCACGTTGGTAAATGTCAAGTAACGTAAAAAGACAGTTAAAAAAAAATCGAGATAAAAAAAATTAAAATTGTCCTTGATTACTTGCAAGTTTCTTTGCGTCTGATTGTTATTATTTTTGTTGTTTTTTTTTTTTTCGCTAGATTGTAAAACTGCAAATCGTTCTGAGGAACCAATGGTGGGTTTGGCTGACCTCTTGCAAGGTGTGGTGTATTCCTATTTGGGACATCTCGATGCGGCTATTACATGTTATCGGAACTGCGTGGAACGTAGATCATGTCCGTCCAAAGATGAGGACGATCAGCATATTAGCGCTTTTGCTCTTTACGAACTAGGAAGTACTCTTTATTACAATAACGTAAGTATTTCTGCTCAATACTTGTATATTTTTGCTATTTTTGTTGTTTACATTTGTGTCATATAAAAAATAGATATTATGGATTACATTGTATAAAAAATAGATTACTTCGTACTTACTTTTACGATATTTGCAAAGTTTATCATTTTTATTATTATTTTTCTGATTTTTATATTTCAGAATTCTGAAGAAGGCAAAACTTTTATATTGAAGGCGCAGAACCAGTACAAAGATTATGATTTTGATGCTCGACTTAACGTGCGCATACATTTCATTTTGAAAGATGTACAGTGACGTCAATTCACGAACACGTCCAAATACTGCAAAATAATTTTAGCAATAGTAATAAAATAATATTTACGTTCCATAAATTCAATCATAGTATAATATTTTGTATGTTATTTGATGCAAAAGTTTATTTTGATTAACAAATTTTAAAAGAAGTTTAAATTAAACAAATAGAGACAGATTGTTATCCATCTCAAAATTATATACAGAATTATACACATATATAGAAAAAAATCACGCATGTTTCTCAAATCCGTCTAAATAAATAACACGTGACCAATTACGTGACTACATCTCTCATTTTGCTGCAGAAAATTATACGTATAAATTACTTACTCTGTATGTAATTGTGCATATATATAGAGAATGAGGATTTATATTTACCCTGTACATATATCCTGTGTACACATTCCCGAATAACGTAAAAATAAATAGTGTAAGAAAATATACTTAAACATTTCATCAAATAAGAATAAATTTTTTTCTTTCGCGAATCTTCATACTATATTATAATTATTTTCACATCCTTTTTCCTCTCCTTTTATTTGCAATTTTTACTCTGTATATATAACAACTTGCTTCGAATCACGAAGGAAAGAATCGCAATTCATTTTCTGCAATACTAGCACAACACAGACGCGCGCTATGCGCACGCTATTATTTTTATTTTAACGTTCTGTCAGTGAACACAACCTGTCACTGCGATAAACCAAAAAAAAAGACGCATACTGCTATATATATATTATTATAGATTTTTAATACTAGCAATGAATTTGTAAAAAACAACTATATATATATATATCGATTAAGGTTAAATATATATCGATATATATACATACACATATATCGATTAAGATTAAATATGTACACACAGTTGTCAATAGAGTCTTTTAAGTTCTGATGTATATGTCTACCGAAACATGTGCGATAAGAAGCATCGTCACAATCTATAGTTTTCTTTTGGTGAGATGATGTGGCGATAACCGATGAGCGGACGGTTTTGTTGTGTTAACGCAGGAAATTGTCCGGGTGTTCCGGCCAACTGCAATCAACGATCCGCTTGGTACATCAGACTCGTGAAACCCTTTGTGTTCTGCATCATTACTTCGATGCTTGGTATAAAACTGATTCGAAAAAAAAAAATCAATTAACGTGTTCAATTTAGTACTTAGAATTACAAAGAGCTTCGAATACGTCTTAGCAATGTCTGTATCCCATATTTGCGACAAGTATTCAGCGAGTTCGTCGTTCAAATCGATTAAAATAGACTTGGAAATTCTGAGAACTCATTTGGAAACTTTATCGGTAACACTTGACCGTAAATAGAATGCTCGTATACATATAAATAACATGTTATTTTTATAAAATCCTTGTCCACAATATATACATATATATATATATATATATATATATATACACATATAGAATTAATTATTGTGCAATGAGCTGAGGAAATTCGCAGACGTAGAAGACTAATATTGCATTAATGTGTTTTTGTCGTACAACAAGAATTTCGAATTATCTTAATTAGCTTTCTAGAGAACTTTATGAGAATTAACCCAATTAAATCTTTGCGTCAATGTAATATCAGCAGTTTGTGCGAATCTTCTCGGCGCGATGTGTAATAAAAACTGACGTTTCACGATATTTCCCCACAACTTTTAGGAAGAACTAAAGAACGTAGTGGAAATACGCGATGAGTTGAAGAGCAATTTGAGAGAAGTGGCTAATGTAATTCCAAAACTGTCAGAAGCTATTCTTAATCTAAGGAATGAGGTGTCGGAGGGTAAGAAAGGTGCGGCGTGCAAATGCTAGCCGGATGTTGCCCTGCTGCAGTGGCATTTCTTTGATGTCAGATTATTGATTAAATAAGTAGAGTGGCACGGTTTATATATTACATTCGTGTCAACAAGCTTTCACTTGTGAAAGTCTTTTCTCTTTGTGTTTACGCGCCAATCATTAGTAATATAATTTTTATTTTGTTCTATATGTACATTTTTTTGACAAAAGTAAAAAAAAATATTGTTAGAAAACATATTGTTAGTTGTTTTCTGTTGGTTTTTAACGTGTTATCACGAATTACAATAGAAATGAATTTACATACGGAGAATTTGCTAAGGACTCTGTCGCTCGAGACTGTGAGAAACGAATTGCAGACATATGACGCCGATAAGACTGGAAGGACGGATTACGCCCTTGAAAGTTCAGGTTTTTTTTGCAGTATCCTATGTTCTATTTTCACATTCAGTCTTTTTTTCTACGTAATAATTAAAGGGCAATCTCGCGACCTGCTAATGATCTGATGCGTAAAGGAGATTAAAAGCAGCTTTCGAACTTTTTTTTAGTCCCAGCTCAAAATAACTATTGAGTATAGATTTTTATTTTATAAACATAACATTTTTATATTTTTCAAAATTACCTACACATTTTATAAACATTATTACAGTGGCAAAAATATTTTCACGTTAATAAAATATATTTTTTCCTGCAGATTTGTATTGAAATAAAAGCAAATAAATGCTTGAATAATTCACACCTTTATTTAGGTGGTGCAATCTTATCGACGCGAGACACCGAACCTTACTCGATTGGTGCATCTGTACTCAACTTGTTCGGCATACCGCTTTGTCAGCAGCAAAATACACCGCGCGCTTTGATACAGGTTACCCGAATATATTTAATTTCAATATCGTACTGAATTCCAAAATATTCATCAGACTGGCGTTTTGCCGGGCGAATGCTGGGCCTTAAAGGGCAGCAGCGGCAGCGTAGTGATCCGGTTGCTCGGCCATGTGCACATATCCGGAGTCAGTCTCGAGCACATCTCTTCGTCGATATCCCCCACCGGGGAAACCGCCACCGCGCCTAGAGATTTTTCTATTTGGGTAAGCCTATTATTGTGCGACTACTATACATCTATTGTCAGTTCGTGTGTCCTATATGTACACATATAGTGAGACGATTGATAAGTATCGAAGATGACGCATAGCGACAATACCCAGATAGCCAACTGAATGCAAGTTGTTGGCAACTTGCCACAAATATTACTCATACGTTTTCAGCAATGTAACAAAAGGGTGTATCCTCTTTTCAGTATGTTCTTGCCAACAACAGTTTTAAAAATATAATAACATCAAGTTCTCAACAACTCATCGGCAATAAACTTTATATTATTTTTCTCAACTTATGAATAAAAATTATTGCTCATATATTGCTCACATATTGCTGACTCACATGTCCTAAACATTGGCTACAACAATTGATTGATAATAAAACTCAGCATATTGATACTGAATTGACAAAAACATTTTCGTTAAATAACATTTGCGTTAAATAAAAACAACACAACAGCAATTGGCGAGCAACTTAATCTATACAATGATTTGGTTTATATTGAGTTTTCACATTTGACTATCTGTGTGTGGGGGTAGTATCACATTGCTGTGGTCGCTGGCAAATTTCATCTTTTGAAAGAATAAATGTCAAAAATCATCGAGAACGTCTACTTTGGAAAGCTATCACACAAACACTACGTACGATAATAAGTCACTTTTTTTGTTCTTCTGAAGAATAAAACTCGCTATCGATACGTCGTTTCGAACACTTATCAATCGCTCCACGTATTTTTGTCCATGCAATGATTGTTATTTATGTAACTATAAACATAGGATATGTATTATTATTACACAGATATATATGCTGGGTTATTGTATGTGTTATACTTGTAGGGTTTGTTGGATCTTGAGGACGAGAAACCTTTCTTATTTGGCAGGTTCGTGTACGACAACACGGGTTCGCCATTGCAGTATTTTGACGTCGAGGTGGAATATTCAACACCACTATAATTAAAATAACTTATGTTTGATTTCTAAATTTTCTATAAACGTCTATCTACGTACGTTTTGCAGAATCGAGCAAACGAGGCATACGAGATAATCGAACTCAAAGTTCATTCAAACAGTGGCAATCCGGAGTACACGTGTATCTATAGATTACGAGTGCATGGTACGCTAGAGCGAATACGAAAGTGAATCTAGCAAATACTTAAAAAAAAAACCATGTGTTCAAAACACATAACATTTAATCAAATATAATTATAACTTAATTATAGATATGTAATTCAAATAATTTTACAAAGAAAAATAATACATATGTTTGAAATAAAAATATGAATTTTACCATTTCCCAGAATCTCTTATTGAATCAATGCTACCGTCCTGTTTTACCGGCACTTTTTTTGCACAACTTACTCTGCATCCATTAATTGAAATGAAAAATGTTTCTCCAGAATAAAAAAAAATATGCTTAAAAAATGGCTTGGATAAGAATTGGACAAGAAAAACGAAAAAAAGTTTATGGACTGTTCCAACACAGACAACATTTTCACTTTGTATACAAAATTGGCAGTACGAATCACAACAAAACTTGTGTCCGAGCCGTTCTAAAAACATAAACGAATATTTTGAGTGTTTTAGGAAAGGATTTTTAAGCTTGCAAAAAGATAAAATATGACAATAAGATTGGTACAGTTTTAGCAGAATCGCCGGAGAGACACATACGTCTATCCTTGTTTCTATCGCGTTATCTGTCCTTGTCTCGGTCTGACCAGAGGGCGTCATTTACTGAACAGCGTAGCGTCTGAGTGGCTGCCGCATTGAACTTTAGCCGACGCTTCAGCACCCTTTTAAATTACACATATACTACTGTAAAATATAATATTGACTGGTTGTTGTGTATGAACCCACATAGAACAAAACCTCCATTAGATATCTATCAGATTGCATAGCTATTAACGTTTAACGAACATTTAATGAGTTTTTTATGTTTTGTATGGGAATGAAAACGATGAGATGGGATCGTTTTTGACAAAGACACAAGCCGGTACGTAATCGTCGCTCGATTTTTATTGCATTTGTACATATTTAGTTCTTCTTTAACTCTCTCCACTTATCTCAAATCTTTTCACACATGCCGTTTCCCATCACACACGTATCCTACATTGCGTTGTACTTTTCGGCTTTATGTGATGAAGCGAAGTCGAAGTTTTGCGTTCACCAAGCCACCGATTAAGACGGGCGGTACACGCGAGACACTTCCTAGTCTTACGGATATCCCCATTACCGGGGTATACCGTTATCGTAATTAAAAATAACGCTTTATATATCTGGGGCTGACGACGGCTCCCGATTTTTGGTAGTTCTTTTTTTTTTTTTTTTTGCGGTTTTTTATTATTCCATTTACTTATTAGTTTCATGTTGTTGCAAGTTTCTTTAAATTACACGATCACTGCCTTCTCTACGAGCCAAAAAAAAAAAAAATAGATTCGAGATAGGCACGCTGAGTTTCGATATTATAACATGACTCAATCAAATACGCGTGTAGTACATACATACGATAGCGTATAGTTTACGATTTTTTTTACAATTATCTGATTTTATGGACCAATGTGTTCTGTGTATTTTTTCTCTTTTTTTCTTTTTGTTTTTAACAATAACGTACTCTTGCCAAATCTATTTTTTTTGATACGTGTGTTCGATCGCGATCGGTGCGTATGTATGGCTAGAGTTTCAACTATAATTCGGAAGTCAGTCGTCTAAAACGCTACCGAGCTATCGAGAGCCGGTCGTGGTGCCGAAGAGACGCGCGTGTACGTAAAACACACACATGGATACGCGTAATTACCTACATGTTTCCCTTAAAATGTCTAACACTATTGAAAGATTAGTAACGTATTCTAAACGCGTTACCATCCCAAGATCCTGTTAGACGTTTTAAATTAAACACGAAATTCGACCGATCGGAAATTCGATCGGCCGACGATTACCATTAAATTTTTTTTTATCTCAAAGCAATGCGGAGCGCGCACGCGCGTTATTGACATGTGATCTTAGCGACTACACCTTTTTTCAATTCTTCCGGGTTGGAAGAATGCGAATAGTTCATCGGTTCTTTGTTACCCTTTTTTGCAGCTGAAAAAAACGCGGGCACCACCACCGCACGAAGGTTCGTCAACGTTCATAAAAGGCATAGAGTTTATGTTTTACTTTTTCTTTTTTTTTTTTTTTTGTTTTTTTACTTCGACAATCGTTAAGTATATTACCGCACGCGGTAGTATCAAAATAAACCACACCAAGTGTAGAGTATAGAATATTCATAGATGTATGTATGTACAGTAATAGAGTTTCTACTTTTAAATCTCTCTTTGTTTTGTTCTCCTCTCTATGTTTGCTCACCCACCAAAAACCACCTAGACATTGATTTTCATTTTTTTTTTTTATTAAAAAGTCAGCTACATCTCTCACTCTCCAAAATTGTTGGCTATTTTCTGCTGCCACTGTTGTCACTGCTGCTGTTGTTGTTTCATGCTGATATATTCGCTGTGTGTTATATCGTTAGGAAGTATACTACGATTAAAGTATATCACAGATGTCAACGAGAAGAACTCTAGAGTGTGAAAAAGAGTTGAAGTAAAACGAAACGAATATATAAAAATCGCGATTCTCGCACGACGATTGTTTATATGATTTTCACAATTGATCGATCAAATCAATTAATTAATTAATCGATCAAGTGTAGCAAGAATACAATTTATATCGATCAATTGTATAAACATGTTTGATTCACAACCGACGATTTGACGGCGCGCGATTATGTAGAAGAGAATAAGAAAAGGCGAGAGAGACAGTGTGGTCCAATTAATTGCAGTTTTGTCTTGTAGACTCGACATAAGATCTAGCTATAAACTACTGAAAATTGTTTTCTCTAATTTTTTTTTTTTTTTTTTTTTTTTTTTCCCGACGCGATCTACGTCGTTCGTCTTCCTACCAATTCCTACAAATCGATTTCCACAATGCTTCGGAACTTTTTGAGTTTTGGTTCCGTTGGCAATAAAGAGATTGTCATAGGTTTTCAAGTTGCGCAGATTGCGCGCATTTTTGCACAGCTGTTTTTAGTTCTCAGTAAATTTCTCCCTGATTTACGTCGTTCGATTGTACGCGCAGTTGTATTTAATATCTCCTTTACAGGATATGCGGGATGCTTTCTCTATACTTTCTTTCTCTCTCTCTTTCTCTCTCTCTCTCTTTCAAAACTCAACTTCCCTAAATGTTCGAGCTTTTGGCAAGTTCACGGCGGCGAAGTGACTAGAATATAAGGACTATATTGTCATGCACTACAGTCTTTCTTAGAGCCTTTTCTCAAATCCTTCTTTCTTCACGCCTAAGTATTTCCATTATTGTGGTGTACCACGTTCCACTTTCTAAACTTCTCGCAGTACACACACGGACTAGAGACTACTTTGGGCTCGTCTTCACTCTGGATTAAGAAGGATCCAGCGATCCACCAGCAAAGGACGGTCTCTCAGATGTTTCCCTGTTTTCGTTCGTGCCGCCAGTGCCTTCACCTCTGCAACCATCTCTCATTGTCATAGTGGAAGAGATAGTAGTTGAGGCGTCTAGGGTCTCATCGTCGCGCAGTCTTCCACCGCGACGACGATGTCCGTTGCTGCTGCTCGCCGAGTCCGTGTCGTCCACGTAAATTCTCACATCGGATCCGATCGCGCCGCCCTCGCCGATATGCACCCCGTCAGTAGTACCAGTTGCAACATTATCGTTGCCACCGCTTCGGCTACCACTGCCGCTGCTACTGCTGATGCTTCCGACGACACTGACATTGCCGACACCACAGATGCTGCCAACAACGCTGATGCTAGCGGCGACGCTGATGCTTCCGGTACCGGTGCTCTCGCTTACATTGCCGCACGGCGACGGTATATCGTCGGATCTGTCGTCAGTAACGACGTAGATGTGGTTATAACCTTCACCGCGAATCATCGCACTGTACTGATCACTGGCAATGCTGGCGGAAGTAGAAGCAGCGCCATCATGTGTCGTCTTCAGCTTGGACGGCCTCCTCTCGTTGATCACCGATTGCACGTCGAGGTCGTCCTGTGCCACCGTTGTCGACGCCTTCGGCTTTTGTTCATCCAGTCGAGCCTTGCCGCCAGCGTAGCCGTTCGCTATGCTGAGCGTTCGCGTGCCGCTGCTTCCAGCGCTTGTGTCCGATTGCGACGGCGTATCGCTCGACGTTCGGCGACTCATCATCGCTTTGGATGGGTACATCTCGACGGTCGGCATGAGATAACGATCGCTAGTTAACCTCGGCGGCACGCTTAGGGTGCTACTGCTTGAGGCGGCGGGAACAACTAGCGTAGGGCTATCTGGCGGCTTGCTGACGCTCAACAAAGACTTATTCTCTCGTGTTTCGTTGATGCTTGTCTGTAAAATTAACAGTGTATTTACAAGGAGCAATTGATAAAATATCTAAAATGACACATAGATAGCGACAATAGTATTGCTGTTGTCGTTGACAAGTTTCATCTTTCAGAAGAACATTGCTGTTGTCAACGACAACAGCAATGTAATATTACTACTATATATGCGTTGTTTTGAATACTTAATCGGTTTACGTATACACTTCTACTTTAACACGTCACACTATAGTATTATAAATGTTTTCCAAATATTATATATATTATTTATAAACATACATAAATATATATACATATATATACGTAAAATAACTTTTGAATCACAATACATGATTTCTTACTTGTGACTTTTGATGTTGTATATGACTGGTAGTTTGACTAGCAGCGGCATAGCTGCGGTGTGCGATGATTCGGGGCACACTCAAATTGTTTACGGGTTTTTCGAAGACCTCGGTGACTTCAAAATGCATTGGTAACAGCGATCTTCGTTGATAATGACCAGAGTGGAAAGTTTGTCGGCGCTTTGACTTAAACTTGGACGGTCTTGAGTTTCGATAATGCGAACTGCGGCGTTTCTCGTCCAAAGACATGGAAATCGAAGCGTCTAAGAAATTGACAAAGTCAATCGAGTAACTTAATTATAAATCACAGTGCAAAAATTATGATGTACATATTACAATATAAATAAGAATTATGAATTGAGATAAATAATGAGTTTTTACCATCGATATTTCTCGGTGGATTATAAATGAAATTTGCAGGTAAAGAACGAACTTTAGCCAACCCTGGTCTTACAGCGGATATCTTTTCGTTTTCCACAATAGATTCATGTTCTTTGTCCTCATCATCGTCATCCTCATCTCCATCCATTCTGTGTATTGCTTCGTCCTCCTCATCCTCTTCCTCCACCTCAAGAAGTTCTTCCTGTTCAGCTGCTAATTCTCTCTCCAACTGCGTCTCCATATCGAGTTCATCTTCCATCTGTGTATATATTATTTCTCTCGAATATTATTTATCTCATTCAGAGATTAACTTATTACATAAAATCTCTAAAAATTATTACCTGTTTGTGACTTTCTTCCAGATGTTTCATCAGCACTGCGACGACGACATTTACCAGTACAAATTGTGCCATCAAAACAAAAATAACGAAAAATATCGGCGCAATAATAGTGCTCACGCAACAATTCTTAACGCAATCTGCCGCATCGTCGCAATCATCCCTCAGTGTATCTTTCATGATTCCATTCCAATTATCGCCGGTAGCAACTCGAAAAAGCGTTAAAAAGGCCATGCCAAAATTGCTGAAATGAGCGTGTTCGCCGAGACCCTGACAAGGCATATCATCATTGCATTCTGTAATAAAGAAGTAACATAATTTTCAAGGGTCATCTAGAAATATAACAATAATTTATGCAATAATATAACAGGTTAATTAAATTTATTTGTATCAAACTATACAATAATTACCTAATCGGCCAAAAAGCTCTACTCCTAACGCAGCAAATATGAAGAAAAGTAAAAAGAATAACAACCCCAGATTGCCGACCTGCGGCAGTGCTTGCATCACCGTGTCTAAAAGAGCCCGTATGCCCTTTGCCATCTTCAAAAGCTTCAATACTCGGGCTATTCGCAGCACTCGCATTACGCGAATTATCGTAGGATTAATAGGAATGATTTTGGATTCGACCTCTTCCAGCACAATGCCGACCACTGATAATATCACTATTCCTACATCTAATTGATTCCATCTATAAAAAAAAATACATTTTGTGATTTGCAAGAATTGTTTCCATTAAACGTGAATGAAAAAGGTAAAGCTGTATCTTCAAAACACACACAATTACGCGTGATAATTCAAAAAAAGAAACAACGCAGAAGAACACAAAAAAGACTAATGCTCACTTATCCTTTAGATAAAGCTGCAAACCGAGAGCAACGAGCTTCATGACGGACTCGAGAATAAAAACTGCGGTAAAGAAGTAATTAAAGATTTTCAACGCGTAGGTCAGCGCTTTCGGCATCATGTAGAACTCCATCGCCATCGTGACAACATTAAGACCGATAACAGCAGCGATTGCCAGATCGAAGTACTTGGATGTCACGACGTTGTGAACGAAGAGTCGGGATTTGGAATAATTGGTGTAATATGGCGGCTCGTGCATCTCTGCAAGTTACAAACACGACATTGCATGTATATATATATATATATATTGGCATCTTGCGACAGTTCTCGCTCGCACGATGTAGAAGTAGCATTAATCTAATTGACCCCCCCCCCCCTGCAACCACTCACTTCGTCTCTTTTTCTCCATCTGCAGCGCGCGTTTGGCCGCCCTTCGCACGCGCTCTTCCTTCTCCTGCTCTTCGCGGCACCTGTGAAAATTCTCCACCACCACGCCGACGAACATATTCAGGACGAAGAAACCCACCAACAATATAAATGCGATGAAATATAATAAACGCCACTCGGAGTAATTTTCTATAGGCTATAATCAGATTTATTTCATCAGTTCGTTATTACAGCTATAATATAAAAGCACCTCACACATAGAAAAGAGATGTATATGTAGAAAATTATTTATTAAACTTAAGAAATTTATTCAAGTAAAAATTGTTTTTTACCTGCTGATCGACTCCAACAGCGTCTAAACCTGTGTACATGATATTCACCCATCCATCTCGCGATGACAAAACGAAAAGTGACATAAGGGCTTTGCCAAGATCGTCGAAATTATATTTTCTGTTGAGCCACACGTTTCGCTTGTCAGCCAGACAGTCCGTTTTATTGCGTACATTCTTGATGTCAGGGCCTTCGCAATAATAGAACGCACCCTTAAACAGTTGCACGCCGAGGATGCCAAAGATAACGAAAAACGTGCAACAGATCAGAACGATGTTACCAATAGGTCGTAACGAAGACAGCAACGTTTGAACGACCAGTTTTAAACCAGGTGCGCGATTGATCACTCGCAGAGGTCTCAATGATCTTAATAGTCTAAATACCTGTGTCATTTGAAAAAAAAAAGAAAATAATTAGATACATCAATCTTCAATTGATTGAAAAAAAACATTTCTTTTGTATGTATATTATGACCATTTTTTGAATATAAAATAAATATAAAAATTAATATTTACTTTTGTATTTAATAATAAAAATAGACTTACTCTCAATATTCCAAATATTCTGGGGCTACTGGATGAGAGCAATGACATTGACAAATCGATTATGGAAATAATAACCAGAGCGCCATCCATAACATTCCAGCCTGAAGTAAAATACGCATCCGGACCATATAACATACCCGTTGCGACAACCTATTCATATAAAATAACATTGTTATAAAGTCCGCACAAGTTTTCATAAATTATATACTATATGATAACTTTTTATCTAAATTTAAATTTTTATCGTATCATTATAAATGACATTATAGTATTTTTAAAAGTATTGCATTGACATTACCTTAATAAACATCTCGATGGCAAAAACAACAGTAAAAATATAATTCGCGGTGGATAGAAAAAGTCTTTCACGACTGTCCGGTGGTATATTTGGTCGTTCCATAGCCAGAGTAATGCAATTCAGTCCGATAAACAACAACACTACGTTGTCGAACCATTTTTGCTCGACGAACCATTGACACAAGATACGAAATCTTCGATACCGAGACAATCATGAAAAGAGTCTCTTAATCATCAAGTTAATAGAATAGCACATTTTAATTAATTATTCTTTATATTTATTTTCTAACAGTTACCTGTTATTTGGCGGGAATAAATATAGGGAATAATTTTCACGCTCCTGCAAACAGCCCTTCGGTTCAAAGAACATAAATATTTTTTTTATCTTCTCGATGCTGCTCGCACTCCCATGGCCTCCGTTCGACGGAGGAGTTTGCTCGCCTGTCGTTCTATGATGTTCCTCTTCCTGATCGCGAAGTCGATTGATTCTAGGCAATGGACCGGTCTCCATCGAGAGATTGTTGATTGTGCGCGGAGTCGAGGACGGGGCGAGCATCTCGTCCAATGCTTTTCTCGTGGATGTCTGTACGTTATCGTACCCGCGTAGCGAATTTCTTCGCGAAAGCTCGCCGATCCAACGCATCTACAAGTCATCGCGCGTGATGACAAGTCATCACGTTGCGAATGATATAGAAATTCGCAGAAAACAAATACTTTCTTTCGAAAAAAAAAAAAACATTGTCGTATCACTCACCTGATTGGGTGTGACGGTATAACGACGAATCGACCATGGGCCATGGCTGTCGAGCGAATTATTAGGACTCAAACTACGATTATTGCTTGTGAGGACGGTAGTTCGATTATTAGGCGCGTCGCGTTGTGTGTTGTTTCTTATTGAACCGTGCAAATAACCGCCGTTAAATCTAGAAACAATTTCTCAAATGTGTAGTATCTGTGTTTATAAATTTCTTATTACTTTATATACACTTGATGATATGTTGTATTACCCTATTGGTATTACTTTATCAGTATAAATTTTTTTTGTATAAAAATGACATTTTTTGCTTACGTTGGATTAGATCCGACAATGGTACTGCGTCCATTATTGAGAACAGTAGCGGTATGGCTTGTGTGTTCGTCGTCACTTTGCGACCATCGTTTCCTTCGCAAAGACGGTCGAGTCAATCGCCACGAGTAACCTCTTTGTATTCTCGGCGGACTACATATATACAAACAAAAAGAAAAAAAAGCAATATATTAACTGCAGATCGTTTAATATTAACTGAGAAGTATATATACACGAGCTACCTAGAACTCGAGTCCCTCGTTGAGGGATTAACGACGGCTGTGACGAGGCTTATGCGTCTCGGAAATTGACCGGCTATTAAGTTGTTCGTCGGTATTTTGGTAGATACATCGGGCAGCTTTAACAATCCCGAGGGTATGCTGCACTGACTCTGCAAATACAATAAACTCGCCGTCATCATATTTTCTGATCGCACAGTTCTTTTAATTTAGTTTTTCACCGAAGTAAAGACAAATAAGTGTTTTTCAAATTGCATGCGCGCTTTGTCAAAACATTGCTTTCCCAATCAAATTTCATAAAACGCGTATTTCGTACTTTTATTTATTATTATTTTTTTTATTCTATTTTTATATTTGAACAAAGTAGTGGAAGCTGTTTTTGCTGAGTAATTTGAAGCAAATTTGAAGCAAGATAATTTAAATATCATGAACAGAGCGATGTTCTGAGTGGAAGAAAAGATTGATTTCAAATATCCTTGATAAACAATTGCAACAAAAGTGGCCCCTTCTCGCGTAACAAAGTGTCGTTTTATTGAAATAAAATAACATACACCGGATCGATCGATAGATTCGATTGAAAGGGCATAAACTGGCCGAGGGGAGACGTCCAGGGTGGTGTTAGGAGAGTCTTGAGGAGTGGCCGCCGTATGAGTGATTATTGGCGGCTGACCCGCCACACCCATCATCTTGCTCTCTTTCTGAATATTACACTTGGGTTCATCGATCTCCTGTTTCCACACGCTGTTCTGCTTCTCTCTGTTATCTTTGTACTTCCTAAGTTCCTCTGCACTTTGCCAAGAGTTTTTCTGATCCTGCAAATCATCGCAAAAGAAGAAAGTTAATACCGTAATGAGCTGCTCAACAATTGTTTATAATATAATTTTATAAATATTATTTTGAAAAAAAAAAACAATTAGTCACTTATGTAATGTTGTATGTGATAGATATTTTATGTACTGTACGTATCTTTTTACATTATAAAAAAAAATGTTACAAATACATCTACTGTTTTCACAAAAAGTTCGGTTAAAAGAAAAAAAAATGAATATTTCGAAATATAAAAACTTGTTGTATCTCACTCACAATCAATCTTTCTCCCGTCCGACACAGAATAGAGTAATAAATAAACCATCGGACACGGAATACTTGGATAGAATTAACTATACACGCGAAGGAGGATGACAAATTACCTGAGTATATGTATCACTGTCAGAAATCGAATGTGATCCCGATATTCTTGACGACCCATCCTCGCTGCCTATTCCAGCTTCTTTCGTAGCAAGCTTTTTTGCCATTTCCCTCTGTTCTCGTTCTCTTCTCTCGTTTCTCTGCGAAATACAATTATCACATTTTTTATAATTACCATGTTCTTCATACGCAATCCGATTTGATCTTTATAGTATATATTATATCTTAATAATATATGTAACTTTTTTAAGTATGACACAATTTATAATATAAAAAAACAATATACATAATGTAAAGATTAAAAAATATATAAGTTTCTATTTTTTTTTTTTTTTTAGTTGCATTACGCGTGAGAGGAGTGACACAATGAACCCTTTTTGACTCCTACCTCCGAAGAAAAACCTTCAACAAGAATGGCGACCAGAAGATTAAAAAGAACATAATTTCCGAAGGTCATCAACGCTACGAAATAAAGGGCAGCCCAGTGAGATGTCTTCTGCATACCGTTAAAGAGAACGACGTTCCAGTCTTCCTGCGTAAGGATCTACATAAAAAGAAGAATAGGAAGAGACTTTCGCTACATATAATGACGCAAATATCTATATACTTATTTAATGAAACACATGTTTGGTAAGACGTTATTTTAAATTTGAAATGTACCATAAATACTGCAAAACAGATGAATAATCTAAAATATTTTTTTAATTAAAGTTTCAGTTGGCACATTTTTTATATCTCCATAAATAATATATATAATCTTATCTTATATCTATACAAAAATAAGATCTTTTTTTAAATCGATTATGTTTGAAATCTTCTTTTACTGACTATATGCAAAAATATATAAATATTAGATTATACAAAATATTAGATTCAAACCATTTTTTTTTTATATAGAAGCGTATAGTAATAAACATTGGTGTGGTAAAAAAAAACAACAGACGCACAAAACGTCTTACTAATCAGTGTCAATAATTTTACGAATATACGCATGCGTTAAATGTTTTTTTCTATCACGAATTTCTCTTTGAGAACTTTTGTTTGTATTTGTTTTTTTATTATTTTTTGATATCGATATTTGATAGTATATTATTTTTAATTTACTTCTCCCAGCCTTCACACACGATGTTTAGAACTTGAAAAAAAAATTGTTCATTACACGTGCAATGTCGTTATATAGCAGTGTTAGCAATTATAGTAGCAATTTTCAATCATATAAATTACGTTTATACTTAACTTTTGCGCATAACGTCGATAGATATAAATATAACACAAAACAATTCAATGAGATTTATGCATTATGTGCATACATTTGTACATAGAAAGAAATTATTACGCACATAGGAAAGTATCAATATAACATACAATAATTATTAATTCTTCGCATGCCTAGTGATAAAGTGTAAAGTATATTTTTTTCCAAAACATAAAAAACCAAAAAAAGTAAAAATTTTCATTAGAAAGATTTAGAGATTTTTTTTTTTTTTCTTATAGACTCTATTAAACGTAACATGTAATTATTTATCATAAAATATGCGAAGAGAGTTGATTATGTCGCGATAAATTTAAAAAAATTCATTTATAATACAACACATTTTGTCATACGCTGTATCGAATGTAATAAACAGAAATACGTGATAGAAAGGCAGAAACTAGCACGAGCGGCTTTCTGCCGCACTGTACATATTATAGTTGCCTCACATGGATGATTGTATATATAAACTAGAATCAAGATTAAAAACACGATCGTAGGTGGTAGTTCGTCGCCGCGCAGTTTGATCCGCGCGAGCGAACAGGATGGTATGAAATGTGAACGTCGACATGTAACGTATACCGTTGCACGCAATGTAAATACAAAAGCAACCATTAAAGGCTCCGTTGCTCGGCACGGATAACAAAGAGACAAGAATGGAATAAAGCGTGGGTGAGCTTAGGAAAAACGAAGGGATCCATACATTGAGGTTTCGTTAGCTCAACACAACGAAGAAATATATGTACACATATATATATATATATACACATATATATACATATACATATATATATATATATATATATATATATATATATATATGTGTGTGTATATATATATTTATATAACGAGGATAGATGTTGTATATATACAATCAGGAACAAATAGAAAACATGAAAAACGAACATAGACGAAAAAAGAGACGTGTATATGTGATACGCAAAAACACGTGACGGAAAGAAGAAATGGGCGTATATGTATATATAAATGTCGCCGTTATAACACGCGAGAAAAAAACGTATTATGTAGAGTTAAAAGACAGGGGGGAACAGTGATACCTGAAAGACAGTGACTAGTGCCCAGACGATGTCGTTGAAATGTTTGCGATCACAGCGGCACATTGGGTGCCGCGAGACCACCTCGGCACAGGTGCAGGGCCGACTCCGGTCCGCCCACATGCAAAACTTACCCCCGAACAGGTACATTCCTAGGATGCTGCAATCGAGACAATCCGCTGGCCTAAAGTATCCCCGCGATACAGATCGGGATTCAGGATTGACAAAGGGAACAAGTTGGTTGACATGGGACGGGGAATTATTGCCAAACAGCGCATGTGTCTCTGTTCTTGTCATGTGTTACAACATATATAAACGTTTCTTTCTTTATTTTGTAAAATTAATTGCGTAGAAGTGTGACAGAGAGATTGAGAGTTCTTCTCGCGATTGCAATTGACACAGTTATGTTATCCGCATCTAAAATTTGTACGAACGAATTGACACGTCATCAATGTAAATCGCTAATAATTCTATTAATTAACATCCGACAAGATGATAACTACAATCCTCTCTTAATTAAAACATATACGTCAAATGTAACTGACAATGTATAAATTAAAAAATATAATAAAAAAATACAATCAAAAATATGATATAATAAACAAAATTTGTTAAATGTAGATAAATCACTTTTCACAGATCTGTTTTTCAATCTGCAGTGTGTATACGTTATCTTTAAATTCTTGATATGAAAACAGAGAAACATTTTATTGATGAGATGAGTTCTTAAATTTTTTTCAATTCATCTCGACAAATTGGGAATATTTTTAATATACATTGACTCTTCGATTCAAATGTGTTACTTATTTTTCGTGATTTCGAGAACAGAAACACTACGCTATGAGGAGATTTTAAGCAAATATGTTGGACAAAACAGCAAAAAACGATCGTAATTCGAAGCTCGTACAGTCACATTCTGCAAGTTCGGCGTGTCTGTACATAGATATACATATACATATACACACGCGTATATGTGTATATATATATATTAATGAATAATATGTATCGTGTATTTGCATTATACACAGGCAAATGTGTGTAAAGTTGGTATACATTTATGAGGATTGTGAACGAATATCATATTGAATGTGTACCGTTGTATATATATATATGTTTTATTAACACGTACAACGAGGCGGGATAAAGAAAGAATCGAAAAACTAAAAATTCAAGAAATTGATCATTTTACGATGTTTAAATTGTTAAATAAATTTCTCAACGTACACGTCAGACATGCATGTTAATTGTTCAATCTAATGCTTCACGCGAGCACTCGACAATGCTAATTTTAGAACAGACGTTAAAACACTCATTTGACTTTGTGACGTCTGAATTCGCAGAAGTCATATAACACACATGTGTTATTCGGACACGTCCGGGCAAAAGAATTATCTGCCAAGTCTGTCAGTCAGACACATTTCCGTCCAGTTAATCTTTCTTGTGGATTTTCGTTGACGTCGAGCTGCACAAAAGTCGACAGACTGGAATGCGCGCAAATGCGTGACGGAGCTTTAAATCATCTTCCCGCGAGTCGCGATAGATATTCGCGCGCGCGTACACATACACTTACCGGTGCCTTCGTGTGAAAATAAGCGACGCGGAAAGAGCTTCGTAAAATATATACGCGACCGCAAAGAAAAATGAATAGGAAGACAAGGCACCTGCCGTTGCAGAATGTCACGGCGAACATTTTGCGAAAGGAAGGAAAAAGGAGGAATATAATAATTGCCAAGCGTAAATATATCTTTCTAATACGTAAGTACGGCACATGTATTTTGCGACGAGTCTCTCTCAGTAAATATATATTTGCAAAAGATTAAAAAAACATACAAATCTACCGAGACCGCAATATATATGTTGTTCATTACAATACGTATATATTACGTGCCTTCCACGATCTATCTGGTTTATATATCTAAGATTAGTATAATAAAAAAGTTGTGTGTCTCTCTGTTACCTACAAAATTATGTTAATTAATTAACCCTTTCAAACCGCTATATAATATCTTAATAACTTACAATTAAACTACTAAAGGTAATATAGATCAATTTTCTGCGATCCAGTTTCTAATAAGCATGTTTTTTACATGTTTTGAAATATGTATACAGCATTTTCTATAAAAAAAAAAATAAAATAGTATATGTGTGGTGTAATCATTTTAAAAATAAATGTATCTATTTGTGGAAAAGAATATAAAAACTATGCGTGCGATATTTTTATTAAATTAGAAGCTGTTTAATTTGTTCGGCGGTTTTTGCGATACGTGTTCCGTCTTTCTTCAACGTATATTGGTATGCCGAAGGTTAATAAATAGCGCTCTGTTCGTGTTATTCGTGTGCGATTGTTATGAGATTTTCGTTTCGAGTCGTTGGATATATAAATTCTCGCAAATATTTTGCGACGCGACAAAATTCTTCTGTCAGGTCGGGTCGATATATTTCGCGCACGTAACTGTTTAATTCGGGACGAGAAATTTTTTTTCACGCTCGAGTCGTCGTGGGCGTTCAAACGAGAGAGAGAGAAAGAAAGTGACAGAGAAGTCACGGAAAGAATCAAACTGAAGAGAGAGACGCAGAGAAAGAGAGAAAGAAAGAGAAAGAGAGAGAGAGAGAGAGAAAGATAATACAGAGAAGAGTGTAATACCGCGTGAATGGTAAGGTGAATACAAGTAAAGTATAGTGGAATACTGTAAAAGTACAAGAGAGACATAGAGATAAGCATGTGTGACGGAGAGAACAGTTAAGTAGTGTGCTACTGTTGAAAATGTGTGTGACGTAAGATCGAGGCATCGTTTGCGTACGAGTGCGTGATTCTAATAAAGTGAGATGTGTGTATGTGAGAAGAAGCATGGGTCGAGATAAAAAAGCTGAGATATAACACAAGTTGCCAATTTTCGACATAATCGCTTTCCGCAAGAGAACGGACAACGTAGGTATAGGAGATGTCCGTGCCATTTACCGGTGTCGCTGCAATGTAGCAAAAATTGACCAAGCGCTTCTTTTTAAGGTATTTATCGTGCGCGACACTTTTATTTCAATCTTACTGCTTTAATCTTACGCTATGAAGAAATATTCTCGAAATTCGACTCTTATGTCGTATATAAAATACTTCAGACTCTATTTTATCAGTACGCCATTAGTGTAGAAATAAATAAGTGGTTTTATTATGCTCAAAAACTCTGTAAACAATTTTATTTTCTTTCGTCGATGCAGTAAACTTTTAGGGCCATCGCACACAAAATGACATAGCTGCGTAGCACAGGACTATATCTGGACCAACGAGTATCTAGCATAGTTTTATGTAAATTATTATGGCAACTTTAGACACACACACACACACAATTCATTGATCCAGTGGTCTCATGCTATGCATATGCAGCTACGTCATTTTGTGTGTGACAGCTCTTTAGTAACGGTTGTCCACGCTTTGCACTGAACGGCAATCTGGGAACGTAGCGCGAACGTCTAACCGAATCTGCTGTCAAACAAAATTACTAAAATGGCTGCGTTCAGCAGAATAAGCTGTTTTGCATCTGTTGTAGAATTTTCTGCTGAACACCTCTTAGCGGTTTACGGTTTTACAACATGTTTGCTAAACGATCGGTATATTTTGCAGCAAACCAAAAGTACGCTTAATAAGCGTTAGCGTAAAGTGATTGCGCGGCAAACTTTGGCAAAGACAAATTTTCTAATCTTGTTAAATCTAAAAAACGAAACTGGATAACAAAATTGAACAACATTATAACGTCATTGTATATAAGTATAATGTTGTTCAATTTCGCGCTTATTAAGCGTACTTCTAGTTCGCCGCCGAAATATCGTGATCGCTTAGCAAACATGTTGCAAAAGCGTAAATCGCTAAGAGGCGTTCAGCAGAAAATTTTACAGTCGCAAATTTCCACTGAACGCAGCCAATAACTTTTTCATTTCGATACAAATATTAAAAAAAAAAAAGCAATTTCGAGTATAACGGAAGCGAGAAAATCACGAAAAAGTGACAAACACCCAAGTACGTTGTGCGAGAGACGACGTTGTTGCCGCCATTACCTAACGGCTAATCATGTCTCGTCAAGAAATATTGCAATCTTTCTGCAGTTTTATTTCGACAACTAGACGATCAATAATTCTAAGTTTCATTTACAATATTTGTTAATAATCTACCGCATTCTAGTTTTTTATCAATGTTGCGAGAATAATTCGGCACCTGAAGTTTAAAATGTGTCTTTTTCAATGGATTCACACGTGTATCACTTATAATTGCAAGCATCTCAGTTTTGACATGATTAAACGTTTAGAAATTTTACGAGCGCTTACAAAGTTTTTTGTTTAATACATGATTCACACAAAGTTGAAGGAGTTTGCAAGAAATTGATTTTAATACACGATAAATACCTTAACAACGTAACACAAAATTCTGTTCGATTCTCAATACAGTGGGATACATGTGTCAATTTTTGCGAACAGGGATAACGACTGCAGCAACAACAAATGGCGATTGAACACCTATATAGAATACACATATCACATGCAAAGCGCGGAATAGCACAACAGTAAGGCGCAAAAGTTATTTGTCTGTCGATATATTGCGATCCAAGTTAGGACAGAGAGCTAAATCCTGGGATTGCCCTATAATCCTACGAGAGAGGCGTTGGTATCATATACGCAGGATATTTGAGCGATCCTAGGGCTCCGCTACAACAACGCAAACGTTCCAGAAACTTTGAAACATCTTTATCGCTTTGTCTTAGAAGTGACTTTATATATGTATACACATGAATTTTAATAAAATTAAATTAAAATAAATTTAACAAAGCTAGATCAATCACTGGTGGTACGTAAAAAATTTGAAGACGAAAGACTTTTTTCACTTTCTTTAGATTCATTTTAATTTGATTTTGTATTTTCTGACAATTTGGAGCTTATTCTGTTTATGAATTATAATATCTCGTGAAAACACGTCTTTAAATGTTAATATCTCGTTCGAACATCTGTATTATTTGCGCTGTTTTCTGTCAAAATCTGTTATAACGCAACAAGCACTATGAACTTGGACCATCTATTCTGATAACAACGACATAACATCAAAAATAAACGTCACATTGCCTACAATAGGAATAAACAATTAAATAGTGTACGAAGCGTCTATACATAAAGTTTTTT